TACCACTTGAGCCACAGCACCACTTCCGGCTTTTTTCTTATGTGGTGCTGAGGAATCGAACCCAGGGCCTCAGGCATGCAAGGCAAGCGCTCTACTACTGAGCCTCCTTCCCAGCCCCTAGTGTATATTTTTTTAACTTGAGAAACTAATTCTAATACTCAGAGCTATCATGCCCAAGAATAAACAAGAACTTTGGCCTTGAAAAAAAATGGTATTACTGTTCAATTGATGATGAAGGAAGATGTAAGTGAACACTGCTTAGAAAAAGATACTTCCCTGGTAATTGGAGACATGTGAAATAAAAAACAGCAAAACATGAGCTTCTGTGTTTGAGGGGTTTTGTGTGTGTGTGTGTGTGTGTGTGTGTGTGTGTGTGTGTGTGTGTTATTGTTGTTGTTGTTGTTATTTGATTTTGTTTAGGTCCTTAAATTTTCAGAAGGTAATGTGAACAGAGAAAAACAAACTCACTCACATAGTTTTTTCAACAGTAATTGGCTGCACATTTGAAGGGTGCATTCTGTCCAACCAAACACTAAGCCAATAGCTCTCCAGTGCTTGTTCCTGATATACATGCACACATGCCCCAAGATGGCTGGTCCCAAAAGTTCACAGAGCATCATGCCTAGCCCAAAAGGTCATGAGTAATATAAATTCTAATCAATAGGAAAGTTATTTTTTAAAACACAGTGCATTTATCCTTGAGGATGCAGTGTAGCTGTGTTGTTTTTTCAAAGTTTGTCTCTCAGTCTATTTATACTGATGCTGCAACAACTCCAAGATATGTGATAAAATATCAAAAGAAACTTGGAGAATGGCATGTCCTTTGAGACATTTATTATGTCCATAGTCTTATGCATGTATGCCCGTGCATGTGATTGTGCACGCACAGAACAGAAACAACTTTTAGGAACAGGATAAAGATCAGAGATGAGGTGGAACAAGAGGACCTTTTGCTTTCTCTGTATTCTTTGTAACTTAAAGTTGAAAATGAAGAAGATAATTTTTAAACTCCCCTAAAGGTGACAGTCTTAAAAGGTTCTTTTGACATGCCTATTGCTTCCCATGCCTTTATTTTATAAGGAGTTGACTGCTTTCCAACCTTATGAGAAGTCATAAAAGTATTTTGCAGATTAAATCATAGTGCTAGACCAGAAAACATTTACTTTTAGAATGTCTGATGAAATACTAATATTATAAAACTTATCAAGAATCTTCTGGGAGGATTTTTGGCAAAATAGCCTTTTGGTCGGCACCCAATCTTACTTTTGATTTTCGTTTTAATAACTCTGCACAGCTTGTCTCTGGAATTAACTTAAGAGCACTCCACCCCTCACTGTAACATCTCGGGAAGCGTCTGAAGCTGGAGATCACCACAGCCTCCGTGCACACACCTGGTAGTGGCTTATTTGGAAAGCCATCAAGACAAGATGGAATGTAGTCACAAGCCCAGAGATTGAAATTTCTAGAAACATGTTGCCCTTTGTCTGCAGAAATCTTCTTACGACCCAGGCCCTGGAGAAGAATGAAAGTATTTAAGGTCACATAGCTTTGAGGTTTTTGACTACATGGCATGTGTACATTCATAAATACAGCATATGACAACTCTTACATAAAGACCCTTTACAACTTGTTAATTGTCATAAAGAGACAAAACAATCTGCTGACGTCCTTTATGGTTCTCATGCCTTCCAGTGTCACCCCAGGGACTGAACTGTGAGGGACATGGAAGGCAAAGCCTCAGCTCCTAGGACCCAGGGTAAGTCCCCATCCCTGGCACCCTCCCCACCCCTCAGCAGACACATGGCTCTTTAACTAAGAAACCAGGAAAGCGATTCTTGCCCAGACCCCTGGCTCCTGGGAAGGAAGAAGGACTCAGGATTCTACCCTCAGGCCTGTCCTTAACTCTAGGCACCTAACATGCAAACCTGAGAATCACTGTGTATTCAAACTTATACATTTAAAAAATGTGAAATAAAATATAAGTGAACACAAAGGGCCAAAGGAAACATACAGTGGATTACACTGACTCTGTGTCAATGAAATGCGGCTCATGAAGGCCAGGAGGTTTTAGTTGGGTTCATGACTTGAGGAGAGTTCTTAAAGGTATTACAGTTGGCCCTCTGAATCTTTGGATTCAACCAACCCTGATTCAACTATCCCTGGATCAAACAAATGTTTTTCAAAAATAACATCTATAAAGCCTAGCAACTGTGGTTCATACCCGTAATTCTAGCTATATGAGATGCAGAGACCAGGAGGATCACAGTTCAAGACCAGTTGGGAAAAACAGTTCAGGGACTTCATCTCCACCAGCATTTGGGCTCAGTAGTTACACCTGTCTTCTCAAGTATATGAGAAGCTGAGATCAGGATTGTAGTTCAAATTATCTAGACAAAAGTGTTTTCAAGGGCATGGATACATCAAAAGCTGGGCACAGTGGCAAGTGCCTGTCATCTCAGACACAGAGGGAGGTAGAAACAGGAGAACCACAGTCCAAGCTGGCCTGGGCAAAAATAATCAAAGAAGAGGGGGATGGTGGATTATAGACAGCCACCTTTCTTGCATCTCTGTAGACTGACTGAATAAAGAGCAAGGCAGGGATGGTAGGGGGCACCAGCAAAGGCAACACCATCTTTCCTTACTTTCTCACTCATGCTTTCTATCCCCTTGTTAGCATCCTTCTCCACAGCAAATGAATTATACAATTACAAACAAAAATATCAGGCATCTGCACTCATCACATTCCTCTCCTTTCCCCTCCTCTTCTCTCTCTGCCTCCATACTCTTATAGCTAAGTTCTAACTGTTACCTATACTATTCTTACTCTTCTAAACCTCAAGAGTACTATTTTAAAAAAAGAACACCCTGCCTACATAAGGTGATTGGTTTTGTAGATAATGTTACCAATAGTATCTTTTTTTTTATTTTTTATTTTTGGTCGGTCATGAGGCTTGAACTCTGGGCCTGAGCACTGTCCCTCAGCTCTTCAGCTCAAGGCTAGTGCTCTACCACTTGAGCCACAGCACCACTTTCTGGTTTTCTAGTGGTTTATTGGAGATAAGGGTTTCACAGCTTTTCCTGCCCAGGCTGGCTTTGAACTGTGATCCGCCACCGTCGCCCAGCTACCAATAATAACTGTTCATAAATATCTGGTGGGGTTTTGAATTGGTGAATTTATTAGAACTGAGATAGACCCTCACACCAGCAGTGAAAAACAGTTCAATCAACCCAGCTAACACTCAGTCCTACAAGAATATACAGAATAAAGTGGAAAGACTTCTGGTTCACAAAATCTGAAACCACAGTCTTCAAATGCAGAAACTCCAACATAGAAATACAAAAAAGCAAGGAAACAGCACCTCCATAAATCAGCAATTACATGATGAAGCATCAGAATGATAGTGAAGTGGAAGAAGCCTCATTCTGAGCTCAAAGGAATGCTGATAAGAAATATTAAATGAAATGAAAGAGGACATTTATGTACAACTACATGAATTCAAAGAGAATACAGCAAACTACTAAAGGAATTCAACAGGAATATCAAATAAATACAAATCAACAGCTAAATGAATTCAATGAGAATATAGCTAACCAGCTAAAAGAGATCAAAGAAGACACATATAAACAAATAAATGAAGTAAAGAAGTCAATTCAATATACATATATATGCTCTAACTAAAGCATGAGTTACACAGAAGTGGATTTTACTAGTGTCACTCCTTTGAACAATCAGTTGTTTGAGAAAATGAACACCAGAAAGCTGAAATATGCCTTGTCTGAAGTGGGGTAGAGTTGAAGAGGACAGGAGCAGATATGTGGAGAGAGGAATGGTGGGAAAATCCAATCATAACAATTAATGTGGAAATGGAACCAGTGCCTTGAAACCATCTATTCCATCCAGGGTGAGAGGGATGGGGGGGAGGAGGGAAGGATGTGATGGAAGGGGTGACATTGATCAAATGTATTGTACTAACAGATTGACATGTCCAATTGAAATCCTTTTGTTCAACTACTAAAGGTTGTTAGAAAATCAATTCAAGGCATGAAAACAGATCTCAATAAAGAAATAGAAATCTTGAAGGGAAAAAAATGAAGTCCTGGGTATGAAAATTCAAATGGAAAGCCTCTCCAGAAAAGTAGATGATATGAAAGAATTTCAGGGCTTGAAGATAGAATGGACACAGTAGAAAAAGTAAATGAAAATACAGAGAAAATATCAAAGAAATATGAAAAAAATGAAGGAAGTCAGGAATCTATTTAAAAGACCAAACATATACACAATGGGCATATATGAAGGAGAAGACATGCTAGCTGAGGCTCAACTCATTACTAGCAGAAGCATCCCCTACTGTTAAAGAGATAAGCACTTTTAGGTGTAAGAGGTTTTCAGAACAATCCATAGACCAGAGTAGAAAACCATCTAACTGCTATATATTGTACATAATAAGCACAGAGAAAAATAAAGAATACTGAAACCTTCAAGAAAGAAAAGTATGTCACTTTTAATACAGAAACACATCAGAATAATAGCCTATTTCTCAGAAGACACTGTAATGGCAAAGAAGATTTTGGTTTTTATATTACAAGCATTGAAAGTTAAAAATAAAAACTTGCCCAGCCAGAATATTCTACTCAGTGAAGTTATCATTTGTAATAGAAAGACAAATAAAAGTCTTTAACAAGGAACAAAAACTAAAACAATGTATCACAACTAGACCAGCACTGAAGAAGATACTCAAAAACATCCTGTACACAGATCAATGTAAACATGCAAAAAGTAGAAAAACCAAATCCTATCAGGTAAGTAGATAAGTATAATAGAAGAAAATTATCCAACACAAAAATTTTGATGGGGAGAGGAATGGTAGGAACAATTACGTACCTTGCAATTTTAAGTTAAAATGGACTCAATCCTCCAATCAAAAGACTTAGGATGGCAAGTTGGATCAAATCGCAAGACCTATCAGTTGTATATAAGGAATACATCTACCTGACCAAAATAAGCATTAGTTTAGCTTGAAAGGTTGAAAATAAAAATGTCTTCCAAGCAAATTAATCCTGAAAGCAGGCAGAAGTAGTTATACTCTCATATCTAACAAAGTAAATTTCAAAGAGAAATTACTTAGAATAGACAAAGAAGGTCACTTCATCATGTTAATAAAAGAAACTCTCCATGAGGCAGGCAGAACAGCAGGCACTGGTAGTTCACACCTGTAATCCTAGCTACTTGGAAGGCTGAGATGTGAGGCCCACAGTTGGAAGTTACTCCAGACTAGAAAGTTAATGAGATGCTTCTTCTCTTAGCCACCAAAAAGCTGGAAATGTAGCTGTGGCTCAGGTGGTAGAGCACTCACTAGCCTTGAGGGAAAAAGCTTAAGAGATAGTGTTCATGCCCAAGTTCACAAAAAAGAAAAGAAAAAAAAACAGAACAATTCTTAACATTTATCTACCACGTGTTGGTGCATTCTACTTCATTAAATAAATGTTACTGAGAAAAAAATGAAGAAAAGAGAAAAAGAAAATTTTAAAATTTACCATAATATAAAACTTACCATAACTAAAAAGCTCAATATTAGACACAAAACAGATGGCCTAAAAACTGTAACCATATTAAAAATTCATAGCATTCTCTTAATTCTTTTAGTTAAAATAGTTAAAAATTAAACAAACTATTTAGAAGCAAATGAGTCCTTAATTAGGAAAAACCCTTGAAATGTAGCCAAGGCAAAAGCCTGAAGAATATTCATAGTTTCATAAATTTATTAACACAATTTTTAAGTATTTGAACTAAACTTCAACTGAAGGGAAAAAAAAGAAGAGCAAACTAAAGGTGTTTCTTGGGGGTCACCAGGATTGTTTTTAATCAATTAGATAAAATTTTAGACACACATATCAGTAAAAGATACAGAAAGGGACGTCGACCTGGTGAACAGATTTTATATTCAGCCCTACTTCGTTGGGAGGTTTTGTTCTGTAGTGCTTGGCTGGAGCTATAGCCCCACCCCCTAATAATTTGAAAATAAATACTCACAGTGTCAAAATAGTATCCAGTGTTCTCCAAACTGTGGCGATTGTCGTGCATGGAGAAGGGGAAGCTGTTATTGACCGCTTGCTGGAGAAGAAGGGAAGGAGAGATGAAAAGGCACTCCAGGGTCTGCCCTGTGCCTTTAGAAGGGAGGACAATGACTGGGGGGAGGGGAGATGGACTGAGGTGACCTCCCAGGGGGTCATTAAACCCATCACCCACGGGAGCACACAGGGCAAGACGCAGTTGCCAAAAGCAGTGTGCCTGTCAGCTCAGACTTTGAAATGTACCACTTGCTAACTTTGAAACTTAGCCACTTTTCCTTATTCCTTCCTTCAAAAAGACTTCCTTTGGAAACAAGGATGGACTATCGTGTGGGTTCACAGAACCTAAAGTCAGCCCTGTGCGCCAACTGGTGTGTGTGTGTGTGTGTTGGACTAGTAAGGATCCTGAAACTCAAATCCTGGCCCCAGGTCCAGACTGAGTCTGGCAGGTGGTGAGACATAGGCTGCTCCCACCACATGAGGCCAGAAGTTGTCTTTGAACAGATCCAGAGCAGCTCGTGTGCTGATGGGCTTAGTGTGCGGGCACAGGTGCCCGTGGGGAGCCAAACCCTTTGTCCGGACCAGGAAGCCTCACACACTGACCCGGACAGGCCCAGAGACAGGCAATGGGCGGTGCCTTCCGGGAAATGTGGTCCCACCGATATGTCACAGTGCCACCCCTGTGGAGACACTCAGGATCCTGCAATTGTGCTCTGGGCTTGCACTCACCTTCTCCCGGATTTTGAATATTGGTGGCAGTTTACTCTCCAATTGCCCGATCAAATGTGGACAGTGGGGCTCTTTTAACATCCCACTGGTAATAGATTCTGGTGTCTTCTGTGTTAATCCAATGTGAGGAAACTGAGGGGAAAAAAAAGCACATGCCTGATTAGAACCAGGCTCGGCTGAGCTACTGAGCCAAGGGCTTCCTCTGACGGTGAGTAAATTTGGGAGTAATTTGGGGGCTTCTGCAGTGCCGTGGGAGGGGTGTCATCTTTGCCATTTCCAAGATACAATTGTGATGATCCACAGCCTTTACTGCGGCTGTTTGGGGCCACCCAGCGGTGCCTGGAAAGGTTTCCACCAATGGTGAGAACAAGCGGACTTCCTGGGAGAAGACAGACGTGTTGTCTGTGGTCTTCCTCTGGCCAGTGCCTGGATCTACGTCATGTTCAGCGGGACAAGGTGACCTCCAGCCCGGCAGGTAAGAGAAGGTCCCCAAGACCAGGGGAAGAGGGGAAGCAGGAGGGTCCCACTGACCCTTCAGGCAGGACATGACACAGGGAAGGGCAGGAAAAGCCCATGAAGGGGCCAGGAAGGGATGGAGCAAAAACAAGGAGGACAAGAAAGGTTGAGTCCTCCTCTATAAGGAAAGGAAGGAAACAGGGCTGGAAAGAATGAAATGGACCTGGCAAGTCCTCAGCTGACCCTTTGGGCAACACTGGGGCATGAGATGGCACTCAGAGTTGTTCTGGATTGGGCTGAGAGGACCTGGCTTTTCTGTAATGGGTCAGTGCTTGGATGGAATCCTGCGCTGTCCCAGGTGACCTCGATGACGTGACCTTGAGGAGGCAGATCTTTTCCTTGGACAGTGGGACCACACTCTCAGCAGCTGGAGCAATGTGACCCTTATTCCTGAGGCCAGAGTGTCTGGTACCGGAGACCTAGGGGAACTCACTCCAATTGTATTTAAATAGCACCCCTGAAAAGCTACCCAGACAAAGCAAGCTTTGAAGTAGAGCTCTCTAGAAGAAAATGAGTATAAATTAAAACTCGATTCTTGGTGAGGTTCCCCACAAAGGGAGAAGACTCTCGTATTGGGGCTACAGCCCAGGCTACTAATTCAGGAGCCCCAATGTGAGGAACTTCCTCCCCCTTATCTATAAAGTGGGAATAATCATAACTACCTGACAGGGTGGGTATGATTTTCAAAGCAAGCACAACATAGTAAGTGTGGGAAGATTCTACTTGCTCACTGCTCTCCCCTTCTTTCTTCCCAAACCCACTGACATCACCTTAGGTCAATCTTCCTTTTTTCCCTCTTATAGTATGATGACATTGGCAAACTATACAATTCGCCTTCAAGTCACAATCAAACTGTATATCCAGCAAGCTGCAGATTGGTGTCTGCCTGAGAGTGTGCTTAGTGAATTATCATTTGTATAAAAAGGCTGTGAGATTATTTTACAAATGTTACATGGGGAAGGGCATTCTCTGTGGCCATGAGAAGCTAGAAGACACAGCAATGGTAGATCTATTAAAGGAAGTACAGATGGAGAGACAGGAAGAGAGGAAAGAGGCAAAAAGAGATATATATATATGTATGTATATATATATATATATATATATCCAGCACTATTTATGTGAATAAGTCTATGCACCCAAAACAATAGATGATATACGAGAGCACATTGAGATAAAAGTCCAAGAACAGCCATTAAAACCACTGAAATGGCTGCCTGAGGATGAGGAGAAAACAAATGAAGATTGAGAACTATGAAAATACCACCCCAGCCCACGTGTATTGATGGGTGTTTTCCCAGAGGATATGTGGTGGGCTGGCCAGTCCTGAGGAGGAGCACCAGGGAAGGAGAAACTTCCTTTCCATCCACAACCACTTTGTGCCACCTAAGTATCAACTGTATTGTTTTTCCACAAGAAAATGAGGGGGGGAAAGAATGATAAGAAAGCAAATGTTCCTGAAATCCTACCAGCTTTTGCACTCTTTGTGCCTACACAAATGTACATCCACATGGATGATGATTTTTGTGTTACAGTATCACCTCATGGGTAATAGGATAAAAAATTTTTAGAGTTCACATTGACTTATTAATGTCAGCTTCTTGTCAACTCTACTGCCAAGCCAGATACCAATGCTGGCAACTGAGTCCCTGTAAGTTCACACCCAAACACAGGTATATGCAGATAGGGACCAATATTGCCTTTCAGAAAAAACCTGGACACAGGCTTGGGATGTGGCTTAGTGGTAGAGTGCTGCCTAGCATGCATGAAGCCCTGGGTTCAATTCCTTGGTACCACATGAACAATAAAGAAATTAAAACTGAAATGTAAACAAAACCTGGATTCTATGTCACATATGCTTTGCACCTTGACTTTTACTCACTTAACAGTATACCCTAGAAATCTGCCAATGAATATATATAGTATATAACATTCTGTATTATACTTTTGTTTCTGAATTTTTTTTGTCAGTTGTGGGACTTGAACTCTGGGCCTGGGCACTGACCCTCAGCTCTTCAGCTCAAGGAAAGTGCTCTACCACTTGAGCCACAGCACCACTTCTGGTTTTCTGGTGGTTTATTGGAGATGAGAGTCTCATGGACTTTCCTGCCTGAGCTGGCTTTGAACCACTGGTGCCTGGCCTCTAAATGATTTTTTGTAGTAAACATAAATTATACAAGGACTCCAGGTCACACCCACCCCTCCCCCTGTGTCTTGCCCCTCCCCCCTTCCCTCCCAACTGTGGGAATCCGGGCAGGGGAGCAGCTGCTCCCTGGCCACTGCCTGTGAGTTCATTTTTAGTCTCCAAGTCTATGGACCAAACTGCTGTTTTCAAAAAATAAAATAACTATAGCATTTTAGTTTCACTCTTAAAAAATCTATTTAATGGCTATCACATGATAGCTGTGAAGTAAACCCTTCTGTTAGATATCGTAACCATGACATACTGCTTTTTAACTGGTTGGCAGTGAAATTTTTGCTGCGTGCAATCACTCCGTGACCAAAATATTAAATAGGAAAATGAAAGTATGGAGAAAAAGACTTTCCTGCCTGGCCACAGCCAGATGACATCCAGCCAGGTCAACTGCAGAACGGCGGTCACCTCTAATGCGCAATGACTGTCTTCCCAAATGGGCGGCCGCTGAGGCAAAGCCAACAGTGTCTTTCATGTTCCCACCTCATCTACAAGTTACTTTGGGAAATTCATGCTCAGCACTATCCTTTTATGCCCTCAGGGCGGACAGCAGGAAGGGGTTGCACCAGGACTCAACTCAAACCCAGGGGAACATTTGTCCCACGCCTGGGACTGCACTCCACACTCCCAGTGGGAGGATGATATGAAAACCTCCCTAGGACACAAAGTAGATTCTCTCCCCCCTTCTCTCCCTCCTCAGCCCCTTCCTCCTCCTCCTCCTTATCAGTTGTGAGGCTTGAACTCATGTCCTGGGAGCTCTGTCCCGGATCTCTTCTGCTCAAGGCGAGTGTTCTACCTCTTTCAGCCACAGCAGCAATTCTTGTTTTCTGGTGGTTAATTGGAGATAAGAGTCTCACGGATTTTGATCCTCAGATCTCAGCCTCCTTAGTAGCTAGGACTTCAGGCAGGCATCACCAGCACCCAGCTCTAACTTCTTGTTTTATGAAAGCCAACGTGCAGATGTGAAAATGCTTCCCTGCGCTCCCTGGCAGCTGCGTTGCCTACATGACCCACTGAGCGAGGGCACAATGCCATTGGCAGGGCTTCTGGAAAGGTAGTTTCCTGATCCAAAGGGGCAGACTCAATAGACAGATGCTTCCCATCTTCTTGTTCTTTGAGCTTCCTCCCACTTCCATGCACTGGTTATGGGCTCACATGTGTACAAAATATACCTGTGTTATAGATAGCAAGTGCAGACAAGTTAACTATGAGACCTATACTTTATTTATTTATTTATTTTTATTTTTTAGGGGGTCTGGTTGTGGGGCCTGAACTCTGGGCCTAGGCGCTGTCCCTCAGCTCTTCAGCTCAAAGCTAGCGCTCTACCACTTGAGCCACAGCACCACTTCCGGCTTTTTTTCTTTTTGCTTATGTGGTGCTGAGGAATTGAACCCAGGGCCTCTGGCATGCAAGGCAAGCGCTCTACCACTGAGCCACCTTCCCAGCCTGAGACCTATACTTTATGCTGCACACTTCTAACTGAAAAAAAAATTCATCAAGCCTCATAATAGCATTCCAGTCTTACATTATGCTCCCATTTTATAAGAAAATAAACTGAGACCAGAGATTAGTTCTTTAGTACTGGGTTTTGAAATCAGGGTCTCATGCTCTCAGTTGGCATGCATATGCACGCACACAGGTGCGTGCATGAAAGAGCGAGGGGGGAGAGAAAGAGAAAGACAGAGAGAGAGAGAGAAGGACGGAGGGAGGGAGGGAGGGAGAATATGCTTGTGCTGGTCCTGGGGCTGGTCCTGGAGAACCAAGCTCAGGGCTTGAGCACTGTCTGGAGCTTTTGTGCTCAAAACCAGGGCTCTACCACTTGAGCCACAGCTCCATTTCTGGCTTTTTTTAGTAGTTAATTGGATATAAGTGTCTCATGGACTTTCTGGCCCAGGCTAGATTCAAACTGCACTCTTCAGACCTCAGCCTCTTGAGTAGCTAAGAGTATAGGTGTGGGCCACTGGTGCCTAGCTTAGTTGGCTTTTTTGCTAGAGGTTGGTGCTCTACCAGCTGAGCACAGCTGCATCAAGCTTTTTGCTGGTTAATATACTTTTCTGTCAAGTTTGGCTTTGAACTAAGGTCCTCAGATTTCAGCCTCCTGAGTGGCTAGGATGAAAGGCTTGAGTCAACCCCCTACCCCACCCCCACCACCGCTGCCCCATTTCTCAGTCTTAACCCAAGGTTATGTCTGAAAGTATGTGCAGTTTTTTTGGGGGAGGGGGTTTGTGCGTGTATTTTTTGTCGGTCATGGGGCCTGAACTCTGGGCCTGAGCGCTGTCCCTCAGCTCTTCAGCTCAAGGCTAGCATTTGAGCCAGTGCTGGCTTTTTCTGCTTATGTGGTTGCTGAGAAATCGAACCCAGGGCTTCATGCATGCAAGGTAAGCACTCTACCACTGAGCCACCTTCCCAGCCCCGAGTGTATGCGGTTTTTTTAATGTCCTAAAGACCTGAATTTGCCGACGTCTTTTCCACTTTTTCTGTTTCCAGTTAGACAAACAAAGCTATGATGGCTCTGCCTCTGGTGGTGCGAGTGCGCAGCGCAGGCCCGGGCGGCTGCGGAGACCTCCCCGCCACTGCTTTTGTGGATGAGTTGCAGACTGTCAGTGCACGAAGCACAGAACCAGAGCGCAAATAAGAGAAGTTCTTGGGACAACAAGGTTGAGACCTCACACACTGGAGGCCCTGAAAATGATACCTCAGTAGGTTTTGTAAGGGATATTGGGGGTGGGCATTTGAGCTGAGGACTCCAGGGGACAAGCTGGGCAGCACTGTGTGCCAATGTCTTAATGAGAGGAGGGGGGAGTCTGGGGAAGCGTGTGAGGCCAGGGCCGGAGCAGAGAAGCCGTGCACTCCCAGACTCGGCCCATTCCAGGCAGGTTGGGCTCAGGGAATCCGTTTACAGGCTGGCAGGAATGTGTTTAGAGGTCTCTATCCAGTGATCATTCCTTGAACAAATATTTACTGAGCATGCACCATGCACCAATGCTACTCTAGACACCGGGGAGATATCCCTGAGTGGAAAAGACAAAGGTACCAGTCTTCGTGGATCTTATACTCTAGGGAGAAAAATAAGGCACACAATAGAGCAAGACAGATATTGTGTGCGTAGAGGGGGGGAGAGGAAGCGGGCCCAGAATGCCCGCTGCCTAGTCGGCATCTCTCAGGAGCCAGCATGCACAGTGCTGACATCCATCTGGTCCTCCCAGGGATGCCGGAAATGCCAGACACAGTGGAAAGCGCTGGGACAAAGGGAAGGGACGGGTCAAAGGCCATGCTGCCCTGGGAAGTGGAGGGGATGGGACCTCAGCCCTGGGCTCTTGGAGAACCAGATGGCGTGAAAAAGCTCCCAGAGGGCACAGCGTCCTTACCCATCTTCCATCCTTGTCTAGAGCAGGCTTGAAACGCCTCCCTTTGGCCATTCTCTCCAGGAAGCTGAGGTGGCTGAAGGCAGCTCCCTCACTTCTCCAGGCTCTCCAAAGCTGGGGAAGAATCACCGCTCTGCACTCCTGGGGAAAGAGGCCGAATGCCCATTGTTGCCACGGAATGGGAGCTCCCCATCACAATGGGCAGAGAAGCCTTCTGAGGCCCTGGGGGTTCCTTCTGCGGGTGCTTGGCTGCTGAGACTCCCCTAACACGTGAGCTAGAGGGCCACGAGGGCTCCAGCTGGGGACACGCCACCCAGGGGCCGGACAGAGAGACGAGGACACTCAAAGCCTCTGAATCCTGAAGCCAGTGCTGGAGCTGATGTCTCTTGCTGGACATCTCCCCGTTTGCAGTGAAGTAAACTGAGTCCCGGGATTGGGTGACCTTCTCCACACCCTTAGTGCTGCCTTAGTACCAGGACCTAAGCTCTCCCTCCCATCTCTTCTGTGACTAACACACACACACACACACACACACACAGCTCTCACCCGCCTTGGAACCCACAGGAAGTAGGTTTCAGGAATAAGTATTGTGCACCAGATGCCAGGCTGGAAGAAACATTTAGCTGTATTTTTATTGTTTGTCATGACAACCTTCCGCAATGGCAAGTTAGAAAAACGAGCATTGGAAGTGGAGAGTGACACCGCCAATGGAGGAGGCTGCGGAAGTGAAATCCAGAGATCCTCAGCCTTTCCACAGGTCACCTGGTCTTCCCAGGGCTTCAAAGGCTGAAATCTGCCTTTCTTCCCGGCCTTGGGTACTCAAGTCCTGCCTCACTCCTGCTCAGTAGTGTGCTTTCTGCTTGTCTTTCTCCTTAGTTGAATGCTGTTCCACCAATGGTCTTGGCTATCCAGGAGAACTGTCCAGCTGTCTCCAGTGCTAAGAAACTATGTCTGCCCCTATTCATCCCCACAGGTTCTAATGCTACCGTGGTCATGACCTGGGGCATTATCCTCTGCCAGCACCCATGGCCCAGGGTGGCTCCTCAGAGAGACACAAGAGATGCCACCACTGCAGCTGTGACACAAAAGGCACAGGCAAAAGAAAGAGGAGGAGAAGATGGAGAGCTAGCTGCTACCATGCCCGCCTAGACAGGAAATCCTGCTGTGGGAGCAGCCATTCCATCCTGGGCTGATGCCGCCTGCTGGAAGCAGCCTGGGGCAGCTGATGCTGCAGGTCTTCAGTGTCCCCAGGTACTGCTACCCATGCTGCAAGGGAGACACAAACATACATCCCAGCATCCACGCAGGAGGGTCTTGTGCTCTGTGAGCTGCCCAAAGCCTGATATGTGGATTCAGATCAACCTCAAAATGATTGTCCAGGGGTAAGTCCGGGCTCAGTGTGGCAGCTCTGCTGGACAAGAGTCCCCAGAGACAAGGCTTCCTCTTGCCTGTTACCACACTACCAGCCCAAGCAGGCAGCCGTCTCTTATAGCCCTGTATGTGGTACTTGAGGCCAAAAAGCACGTGGAAGAAAGGAAGCATAGGAAGAAAAGAAGAAGAGGGGAAGAACTGGTGGTTCCAGTTGTTCTATTGAACCAGCCCCAACTCTGTGGTTCATGACACATACTTGTCTTTGGCTCAGCTACTTTCTTCTAAAGAAAGGTTCCCAGTGGCTGCCGCTCAGCCCTTCCTCCTGGGAGCCAGAACTTGGTCTCATGACCACACCTTGCTTCCAAGGGGGCTTGAGAAATAGGCTTTGTATGGGTGCGGTCATTGTCCACCTGAATATTCTATCAATATGGAAGAGACAGGGAACGAGTGTCGAAAGCCAACACAGAGGCCCAGCCACAGCACAGACCCTTTCAGATCTTCAGTATGGTGCCCTGGAGGATTTTTTGTGGTTTTTGTTTTTGTTGTTGTTCAGTCATGGGGCTTGAACTCAGAGACAGGGTGCTGGCTGCCACGAGCTTTTTTGTTCAAGGCTAGCAACTCTACCACATTGCACCGCTCCACTTTTGGTTTTCAGGTGGTTAGTTGGAAATAAGAGTCTCACAGAGTTTTCTGCCTGGCTGTCTTTGAACCATGATCCTCAGATCATGCCTCCTAAGTAGCTAGGATTACAGGCATGAGCCACCAACAGCCAGCAGGATCCCTGGAGTTCTAACAAAGATAGGTAGACCTTCCTCCTTGAAAGCACAAGTTAGCATGAGCTGGAGAGAATGAAGCATGCTATTTGTTTGGCTTCTCAGTGTGGTGACTTAAGTGGTGGAGCACTAGCTGGGAGCAAAAAGGCCCAGGAAGACCACAAGATTTAGAGTTCAATTCTCTGTACTGGCACCAAAAAGAAAAAAAGAAAGAAAGAAATGGGAAAGAGGTCCAAGTTGTTTTGATACTGGGGGAAAGAACATGATTTACAGCAGAGGCCAGAGGGAAGAGCAAAGAAGCAGGTCATCCAGGCAGCCTGGGGAACTTTGGACAAACACCTTGTCCAGCGAGAACCTGACCAGCTGGCCAAGGTCAGAAGAAACGGAGCTGCAGAGAGCAGAGGACAAGAACAGAGGAACTGAGAGTTTTAAGGAAAAACATCTTTCCTTTGGCAGGGTGAGAAGTAAGATTCACCTTGAAAGGCATCAGATATGGTGAATTTAACTCTCTAAATTCTGATGCTAAAAAAAGAACAAAATATGGGCAAAACATCTAGCTTGATTCCTGCTTCTTGGCTTGCTAGAGCTGAGTCTGTTTCCCTTCTGTGTTCCTGTGTTTGTCAGGGCTTACATGAAGACGTTATACAACGGCTCCACCCCTGCAAGGACAGCTGCTTTTGTTTGAAGGGGGTAGTCCGGGGGAAAAATCTAGAATAAAAGACAGCAGCAGTTACACATGTGGTTCAGAATGAACAGCTCCAAGATAGCCACACCAACTTCTAGAACCATAAAGCAAAACAGCAAAATAAATACCACTGAAGAGAAAATTAAACAGTGTTAGAACATGACACAAGTTCATTTCCATTCCAGAGTGAGGTCTCTCTTGCTCTCTGTCCCGTGCACACACTGAGAGTGAAAGACAGAAACTCTCTGTAAAACCCTCCCTGATCCTTTTATTTTGTACTATTAAATATAATGGAGCTTTCATCAACTTGGCAGGAAATTGCAAGCTAATAAAAAAAAGCCGGTTACAAAGATAATAAGACAAAGTCATAAAAGACAGTCGTGGGCTGAGCGCTGGCATTCAGCTCTCTCTCTCCAACTCTACAGGGACGTGGGGTTCATCAACTCAGTTAATCGTGTGGACGACCACGAATTCGTCCTTTCTTGCCTTTGTTCTTCACATTCTTGGACATTTTTGCTCTCGAGATGAGCCTTGGAAGGCAGATAGGAAATATACTCAGTGCTGAGTCTTACAGTGCTCCGTCTACACCTGAGCAGCAGCTTGTTTAGCCTGGAAATGAAGATGGAGAGCCAGACGGGGCGGGCCACTGAAGCCAGTCCAACAGTCCCATGCCGCTCCTCGCACTCTCTTTGTGGCTTCCAGACTCCGCAGTGGCTTCCAATGTCTTATCATCAAAGCCTCAGCCGCTGTCTTCCTTCCCCTCTGATGTTTGTGTTGGCTGGGGAAGCAGCCCTCATGGGGCCTCACTGCTCCAGTTGTGGTATTTGGACCCACAACATTGCTCTCCCCTGAGAACCCATGGAAGACACAGAATCTCACCCACCCTCTCAGACCTTCTAAATCAGCATCCGCATTTTAACAAGAACCCAGGGTTCACGTGCACATTCAAGTTGGAGAAGCATTGCCTTCAGAATTCACCAAGCACATGTTCACCATCTCAGTTGTGTGTGCGTGCACATGCATGCACACACACACATATGTATGAGCATAAGAATGTGGCAGGAGGCTGGGAAGGTGGCTCAGTGGTAGAGCGCTAGCCTTGCATGCCTGAGGCCCTGGGTTCAATTCCTCAGCACCACATAAGCAAAAAGAAAAAAGCCGGAAGTGGTGCTGTGGCTTAAGTGGTAGAGCGCTAGCCTTGAGCTGAAGAGCTGAGGGACAGCGCCCAGGCCCAGAGTTCAGGCCCCATGACCAGACCCCCCCCCAGAAAAAAAATGTGGCAGGGCTGGGTTCTGGGGCTTGGCCTGAGGACCTTGCACTCTTGCTTGGCTTTTTTAACCCAAGGCTGGTACTCTACCACTTGAACTGCACCTCCACTTCTGGCTTCTTACTGGTTAACTGGAGATGAGCATCTCCACACACTTTTCTGCCTGGGTTGGCTTTGGACTGGAATTCTTAGATCTCAGCCTGAGTAGCCAGTTCAGGCATGAGCCACCAGCACCCAACATTATTCACCATCTCTGTCATCAGTATTTTCTTGGTTCTCAAAGAAGAATGGGTTGAGTGCCTTTGAGCACCTTTGACCTTGTACACAAAGGGAAACCCTAAAGCCTAGTCTTTGCGTGCTACTTTGTGTGTATGTATGCTAGTCTTGGGACTTGAATTCAGGGCCTGGGTGCTGTTCCTCAGCTTTTGTGCTCTACTACTTGAATCATAGCCCACTTCTGGATTTTTGGTAATTAACTGGAGATACAAGTCTCATGGACTTTCCTGCTCAGGCTGGCATCAAACTGCGATCTTCAGATCTCAGCCTCCTAAGTGGCTAGAATTACAGGTATGAGCAACCAGTGTCCAGCTGGCTTGCTACTTTTAATCAGACAGTGTCATTAGCCTTTTGAAGACTTAGAAGCCAAGGTCAGAGGCTAAAGAATGAGTTTGCCACATTAACTGAAGTATGGTGTATGCAGAGGAAAATTCCAAAGGCATAACGCCTTTGAACAACATACAGTGACACAAAAGCTGATACTTGAGATGTGGCAGGGGTGAGGTTAAGGGACAGGGGTCAATGAAAGGAGGAGGGAAAATGCAGTCACAATGTTCAGTGTGCTCGTATACATGCATTCATATGTGAGCACGAAACTAGGAAACGAGGGAAGGGGTGGGGCTGAGGAAGATGATGGGAGGATGGAGGAGACATTGATCGAGATGTGTTGTATTCATAAACT